CGCACTCTGGGGTTGACATTCGAGGCTTGTCACATCCTCTCTCGGTTCAGTTGTTTTTATATACTTTTTGTCTCCCAGTCTTTCTAAAGAAAAGTGGACTCCTCAAACTACCAAGATCATCTGGAAGTTCTTGCGACTGGTTCGAGATTGACTCACACCTACTTGCCCTGGTTTCTCTGACATAACCTGCTGCACCTGTAAGACCATGTGGTGGGACAATTATTCTCCTCAATTTGAAAAACATACAGTCTGGAGTTTAATTATGCACATTTTCAAGGCGTGTTAAACCTCTGTGTGTGTGTGTGTGTGTGTGATGTATGATGGGTGTGTGTGGAGTGTTCTCATGCCCCCGGACTGCCCCCTTTGGTCTCAAAGTTTCCTTCAGGGTCACAGCTGGAACATACACTCCTCCGTCTAATTTCTTCCACTCTCATTTCCCCACTGTGAAAGTCACACAGCGAGCATCTTCCAATTAATCTCTTCCTTCCGTCAATAGTCTCTCAAATTACCACCATATTTGGCATCTTTATTTTTGATCACAATGTCACTGTTTATGCCTCCGATGTCTGTCACTTTCGACTGTCGACAAGGAAGGAGACTGGCTTCAACTTCTTCTTGAAGCTACAGTGACTGTTTGTTCCTATCTTCAACGCAAGCACGCGTTTGTTCAGATGTCAGCAAGAAACCTGCAGCACCAAAGCTCTACATCTTAGGTGATGTTACAGACCTTTCAAGGATGGTTTGCGATAGCAAAACAACCAAACTCTCTTTCTGTCTGTCTCACCCCGAACCCGACTGACTCATGTGGAAGGTATGTGCTGAGCCTACAACCTCTGCCGGCATTGGCCTCTGGAATTCTAATTCACAAGAGGAACGCCCAACCTCACCAGTCACACCAAATCCTGCTCCTGCCCATTCTTTATTTTTAATCCCCCAGTTTCGCTCCATGCATCATTCACGCGTGCTTAGCTGTAAGCGGTGCAGAAGGAGACAGGGTGGCAAGTGGAGGTTCTGTGAGAGCGGTGGGAGGGATGGAGGCTAAATCTTGGGTGGAAATCAAAGAGTTTGGGTTTTTGGAGGGGATCAAAGTAGCTTGCCACACAGGTTTAAACCTAAACTATAAAAGTCTGCAGGAGGAGTTCAAGAGTAGAACTGTCATGGAAGATACTGAGATCATAGGAAAGCTAATTGATGCAGGGTTTTTCTGTTGCTTTTTTAAACTTCTGCAAGTTTGCAAAATGCATCCTGAAACTATAATTTGAGAGACTAAATCAAACTGTTGGTGAGTTTTTTCTCAAAATTGTGCAGAACTCTGGTCCTTGTCAAAAGCTAGTAAGTGTTTGTGTGTTATGGGAGAACACATTTCTGAAAAGAAAATCATCTTCTAAATCGTCTTTAGATGGCAAATAATGTGTTTTCAGTAATAATGAATATCATAATTACTTGAAATCTAACACTGATTATGAGACACTGTCTTACATTAAAAATACCCCCAGATTCAGTACAGTTCATTTACCCTTTGTTGGTTTACATTTCTCAAAATGAATGACATAATGCTTCTTTTAAAAAAAGAAGATCAAAACCCACTAAACTGTATGATTGAGACAAGACTCTTTTTTTTTTTACCAGACAGTTTACCACAAATCCCCATGCATTTAAGATGATTACCAAAAGAAGACGAAGAAGAAGAAAAAAGAAAGAAACAAAGGCAGCTCAAATTTCTTAGAGGGACAAGTCTGTTTGTTCAAAGGGCTTTAGTTTCAACAATCTGTCTTCCCAACAAAACTGCAATAAGAGGCCCAGCTCCTCTGAGACCCTGCAGCTAAACGGCTTCAACAAGCCACTCAAATAGACATCCAGCTAATAGGTCATCCAATAACAAAACATTATTGCACAATTTAATAATGAGAACAATTTCAGCCTTTGGCAAAAACAACAACTTGAATGCTTGTTCTCTACCATATATCCCTAAACAATGTGTCTATAATATTATATCTATAATATTATCTGCACAATGTGTAGAAAATATTATGGTTTTAAGCTAAATCTCACTTCAATACACTTAACAAATGGAAAATAAAAACAAGCTAGTGCCATCTTTTTGCACAATTGGGAGATACAAACTTGAAAATATTTAACTTCAGCTGCACACTATAAAGCAGCCCTTGGTGTGTGTGTGTCTGTGTGTTTGTATGTAATCAATGACATAATAGCCTTTTGACACAACCGGTTTGTCCTAACCTACTTTAATGCATAACAAATGGAAGAAAAAAAAAGTTTGCATGAGAGTGTGTTGCACCTATGCCTTCCCTTTAGGCCATTTAGCCACACACATTACTTATTACTTCAGACTTTCTAACACATTACTCATAGCTCACAGTTCATTCACATTCATGTCCCCTGCAGCAGCAGCTGAGTCACATTGCTCCTCTGACTCTTATACTGCCTCCACCTGCAATGCTGCACCTACAAATAGGAGGAACTGTGGGCAGGGAGAGGTTAAAGCTCGGCCTTTCCTCTCTGTGCACTCAGCCAACACCCACCTTCTATTTGTGCTGAGTGTAGACTTACACAGAGAGAGGAAGGGAGGAATACAGGGAAGAAAGAATGGAGGACGAGAGCTGACCATGAACAATAAACTCAAGACTGGGGCATATATCTGAAAAGTAGATCAAATGTTTCAGACATAAAAATTGTTGAAATTGAGAAATGATTCTTTGTTGGCAGCCACATTACAGCAGATTTCTTCTTTTACAGTTCTAGAGAATGGGTTTTAAATGCTCATCCATTTATATGGCCACTTTTAGTTTGACTTGGGCATGGCAGGGTATGAGTGAACGAGAAACTGATACTGATAGAATCAGGATAGGCCTGACAACGATACTGGTATCAATATTAGCATCGATACATGTCTAATACTGATTATGGCTTCAATATCAGCAATGAAGCAGGGATGTAACCAACACTGGCATCGATGTTCTACGTGCCTGATACTGATTGCTATCAGGATCTGCATATACCATGTCTTAATATCAGTATAAGCCTGATACCAATAATTGTATAAATATTAGGATAATGCTACACAAGATTAATATTTAGAGGTGAGTATAGTGAAGGTAAAGAGCTATTGTTGAAGAGGAAAAAAAGCTAAGGATTATTGCTGATGTTAATCATAGAGGAAAGACATTTCCATTGGTAGACTTACATGGGATTTTTTGGTTTACTATAAGAAATGCAGACAAAACCAAACCGAGTTTCCATGTGGACTAATGGTGGACGTAATTACAAGCTCCACCTTGTAGTTACTACATGACTGGGGAAACCGCACATAAGCTTGAGGTTGATTTGACGAGTGTTTGGGTGAGAGACGTGGGTGGCATCAGGGTGGGATGCTGCTTCCAGACCTGACTGACCGATCGACTAACCAAACCCAGCCCCAGACGTTAATCCCAGACATGTGACAGCGAAACGGCTCGACTTATCAACTTCAGCAGCTCTGTAACCCCCGGCAGGAAGAGGACGAGCTAAAAACTGCACAGCAGAGCACATCCACACATTCATGAGCCTTCGTCCTGGTCCCCATCCAACTTCATTATCGTCATCGGAACAGACACAACAAGAGGTGAACACATCGCAAACACCAGAATGTAAGGCAACACACGTCAGTAAGAGGCTGGCGGCATTAATGCAGAATAAGTCCCACAGTGTTACATTTCACACAAACACATTATCTGAAAGGCTGCAGCTGAAAACAGCTTCTTCTCAGAGAGGAGTTCTCAAGTTTGCTGTTATGATAAGCGTATAGTCGTCTTAATGGAGGACGAAAGGTGTCATGCAAATGGTTGTTAAGAACGGCTGATTTTAATATTTCTGAATATGATCATTGATCATAGATTTTGATTTGTTATTTGAAAGGATTGATTTATTTGTTTAATTTGACCAGTTTAAAAGTGGTTTAATATATAAATGTTTTTTTTTAAACTTTTTTTTGTGCCAATTTATATATCCTCTAATTGAGCAAACCATTAATCTTTTATTAATTCCTGATTTATTTTTCAATTAGAAACATGTGAATGAAAAGTTTTATAATTCTTGAAAACCAGTGCATGCAGTCATTGTACAGTATCACATCATGTTAAGTCCCATTCATTAAAAGATTCAAAGTAAAATATAAATGATGACAACTAAAACCACAATATGTGTCATGGTTGTGATTCACTTTCTAACATCTCATTATTTCAACCATTTCCCAGAGGGTGAAGAAGAAGAAAATGTTGTACAGTAATGATGGGATCTAGTTACTACAGCAAAGGAGATGAGAAAAGAGGACATGTTGTTCCTTTATAAGTGGTTTAAACCTGACTTTTGATGAAAAACAATAGTCTATGGAGCAACGTGGAAGTCATCTTGAGCAATGCACTGAATGTGGGAAGTGGGAACATTCTTGGGAAGAAACCTGGCAGACAAAATACAGAAGAAGGGCACACACATGCATATCACATTTCCATAAACAAACATTCAGCTTCCCGAGGCTCTGTCAAATCCTGCAAAGTTTTTGGTGAGTATGAGGCATGCAGGAGGCCTGTGGGAGCAAAGAGAATGATATTTCCTTTTTCCACTCGGTGCAATTTAATGCCACATCGCTGCCAGGAGTGGACGAGGTCGCAGTTTGGATCTGCATTCACAAACAAGATGACAGGCTGCTCTTTTACTTTCAGACTCGGGCATGGGAATCATTTGCATTTAAGAGAGAGACTCAGATCAAATCGCTTCCGTATTGTCCTGGGGATGGTTTTCATTTGTAAATAAACATATATTTGTTAGCCAGATTCCTGAGTTGCTGCCATGGCTGCAAACGCAAACACAAACACACCATCGACTGGCAACGAAGTGCAGTCACCACAAAGATCGTATCTTAAACCCGCTGACAACATTGAACAGACAATTCCCAGATAATAAAGTCAGATTATGCTGACGTATAGTTAGACTTCACAACTTACCGACTATAACACACAGCACGTCCATCACTACGTAAAGCTTCTTCTTCTTTAGTTCCTTCATCTCCTTTGCGTTCATTTACTCTAAAATATGACAGTCGACGCGAGGATAACTATTTTTTGGGTAGAGTTAAGAAGTCCATGAGCACGCTCTCGCTTTGCAATACAAGTACAGGCTATGCAAACAACCTGCCAACCTGCACTACGAGTTCTTCCGGGATCCTTGGAACTACCTGTGCTGACATTGACAGCGAAGGTGTGGAACTTCCTTAAAAAGACAGCGCGTCAAAAAAAACTCAGCGCTGGATCCGTGCGTCTTCCTGTGCTCATTGCTTATGCGTGTAGACTACAGAAGCAAAACTGCAGAGAGCCTCTATTTCCCAGCGCTGGAGGCGTCGGGAGAATCCAGAACAACTTCTTCTTCTCTCACTCTGAACACACACACACACACACACACACCACGCCACCACTCTGGTCCCTCCTCCTTATTGCCTTGACTGGCTCCTCTCTGTCGATCAGATCAGACACTTTTTACGCACAGGCGACGGGAGAGAAAAATCTCTGTATGGTTAGGTCGATGTAAGACTTGTCTCAGAAAATAAATGTTTTCTGTATATGGGGGAGGGGGGGGACTGACTGCCAAATGGGACTGACTGCCCTGACTGCTTATCCCTATGAAGTCATGTCTTAATCAAACACATGTCAACATATTATTTTAAAGCAACGCAATTGGATTGTTGCCTAATTTGCCTCCATTTTTAAAATCCTCACATCTATCAGAGCCCTGAATGATCTCATCCCATCATGCACCCCAGTTTCCCCTTGAAAGCGCCACAGGATATTATACGCTCCAACTGACCAGTTTTGTTGGGAGTACCAGGGCAAAAACCCCCCTTTCGACTGCAAAGCAAACAAGTTCCTCATAAAGTCCAAACAGATAAGTCACAGCCATCACATCAGTGGGAGGTGGACTCATGCTGATCTCACTTGGTGGGTGACAACAACAATGATATATGAGCCATTTTGGAAATACAGCAACATCAGCATGAATTAACACCAGGATGACTCCAGGCAAAACTTTAATTTAGCTCCAAGCAGCAAGGATATATTTCCCCACCTGGAGTTTTTTTTTATGAGACCACAAAGTGCTTTAGTCTTGCTTTTGCAGGAAGATTGAACTCTTTGTGCATTTAAAACATCATTTTAACCCCCCAAGACCCTTGAGTTATGTAGATAATCGTCTGCACACTGGATATTGCAGCTTTAATCGACCCTAAACATATTTAAGACTGAATATCAAATGGATCAAAATAAGATTCTATCTATCTGTATAACTGAACATTTAAATGTAATGTAATGGAAACCAATCATCAATGACATACTCAAGAAAATCAGGAATTCAAAACAGCAGTATTGGGACTTCAGGATAAGAGTGGAAGGAGTATAATTGAAACTGGGATTTTCCTGCCCTCTTCTGGCTGCTTCTGACGGTGACAAGTTGACTCCAGCAGACAATCTAAAATGACCTTTCAGAAAAATCAACTAGACATAGATTTGAAGATTCACCCAGGTTTTCTCTGGGAACAGATTCACAAGAGTGGTCCTGTTCTGTTAGGGAGTGTCTACATATGTGATATTTGTTATTCCAGCCACCTTGTTGAGCTTTGTGATTTAAAAGAGAACAAGTCTTTTGGAGGATGTAATGTGGAGTTAATGTAAAGCAAATCCCTGAAGTCAGTCCAGCCTGTTAACAAGAGCATACACTGTTTTCACAAACAACATGGAGGGTGTCTCTGGTCTGTATTTGAAAGAACGACATTTGTGTAAAGCAGAGGTCGATTGAATAGATAGACCAGGCTCGATCCACTCCACCTGTTCAATGACAGGATACCCTGCGTGATAAACTGCTGCCCAATTATTTTACAAAAAAGATTTGATTTCTTGAAACTATATATCTTTTCTTTCTTTCTTTCTTTTTTTTTTTTTAAATTGTTCTGTTGTAATGACAAACAAATAACCTCCCATAACACTGGCAGAATATTCCCCAATGTCTTGCCTCTACACACCTTTTTCTGTCCCTGTTAAAATATTACATTTGTTGTTTAAGCACTGTTTCACTCCTAAAAACGTTTAATTTTGAGACAATTGTTGGATTAGATGAGAGATGTGGATTCAAAGTGTTTTGAGTATCACCAAGCAGCCCCGGCCCACACTCAGCCAGAAAACTTTTTCTTTTATTTAACTGCCTACATCTCATACATCTGGAATTGTTTTATACAACCATCTATTGACTAAACTGTCTACAATTTATTTACAAGGTAAAGTTGAAGCTCTTCCTCTGTTTAAAATCTTTTAATCCTAATTTTAAAGATGGAGGTCCAGTAGGTCAAAGGGAGTGCAGGATCAAGAACTGCAGGTCAGATATTCAACTTTATCCTTGCAATAAGTGGCATAAAGTGTAGTGTGTGGTATCTTGACATGAAAGGTTTTGTTCAGAAAGCCATAAATTGCATTGATGCAAAACATTTCTCCATTTGTAGCCTTGGAACAAAATGCCATCACTGTCATTGTGAGACATTATGGGTATTAAAGCTTTTATTAAGGATTATTTTGGGGATTTTCATGCCTTTATTTTAGAGATAGGATAGAGTCGATAGACAGTGGATAGAGTCAGAAACTGGGATTCTAACTGGTTTTGAACTTGGGCTGCCCACTTGGAGGACTATAGCCTCCGTACATGAGGTGTCCCCATATTATCTCTTTTTGATGAAGAAAATATCTACTTTTTATTTGGATACATGGCCACTTTTCACTTATTCCTCTCAAATGAATAGCATATTTGCTGTTTGGTTCTTATCAGTCAGTAAAAGCTGGCTTGGAAAACAGTAGGCCACATGAGATAAAGGGATCGTTGCAATTACGTCACATGCAGGCTTTTCCTGTCACACTGTGTCCCTCCATGCACTGCAAGAAACACAGTCAATGCTCTTTCGTGAATCTGTGAATAAAGCTCCAACTTTACAGCATTATTAAACTTGAAATTCAAGCTTCTCTCATTGCACTGTCTCTGCTGCTGTGGAAACATCTAGAGATAACACTTAACTGTACCAGAATATGAAATATTCATGTATGAAAAGTCCTTTCATTTTATTCAAAAATACGGATTGTGACTCTAAGTGTTTAACTGCACAAATTGTAGTCAAAGTAATATTCATGTTTGGTAAAACTTCTGTCCACATTTGATGATATTACTTGACTCAAAGAGATAATAGTTCCTTAGTGGTTGAAGACAACTGATGATTGTAATGACTTAAAATGTTTGGCAATCTGAACTTCCTGCAAAATGACTCGTATTCAACATAAAGCAGCGCTGAACCCACAAGTTGATGTATGTATATAGTCATATTTAAAAATAGATGGTTAGACATACATGGTCTTAAACAGGTTTGTTCTGAGCCACAGCTTCAGATTACTCTTGAAATTGGAAAGATGATGAGTGACAGTGTAGTTTCTGACAGTGTATATGTACACTTACTTCTTACTGTGTCTTACATTTTGTGAGTTTGAACTTACCTGTTGTGTTCTCCATATGACAGCTGAGGCTTTACTGGGTGATGAAGCCACGCTGCTGCTCCTCCGAAGACGCAGGCTGCCCTGTTCCACATGCAGCCTGCTACCAGCAGAGGGCACCAGAAAGTAGAGGCGAGTGTGTAAGGAGAAAAATCTGCTACAACAGATCAAATGACTAAGGTCAGATAATTCAGTAAGCAATATGCAAGTTTGTTTTTGTAAATTTCTTTTCTGCTTTTTAGAAACTCCAAGCCTTCTTTTTTAAAATCTAAAAATGTTTAAAGAGGCATACTTTGGACTAATTAAAACACACAAATGTATTCCCCTTCTAGCTTAAGCAAGGCAGTCAGGGTTTGCAAATCCTGTAAATTCACTAAGAATTAACGTTGAAAGGCTCCTCCATATGAATACAAAGCTGACAGAAATACATTTTATACAGTATTTCAATGGCAGGTATTTGGTTCTCATGGCATTACTTTCACAAACATTGTCCCTTGTCACACAAGAGAGAAATTCTAATATATTTCTTATCTAGTTGGAGTACCTGTCTCAGTTGGCCTTACAAACAGGAAAGTTGTTTCCAGGTGTCAGTGTAAGGCATTTTGTATATTGTTTTCCAGGAGAAACAAATCAAGGGCAGAAAGAGACATAAGTTAAGTTAGACAGTACGTTTGTTCTTTTCATGATACTGGTGAATAAGAAGTGAATAGAAAATCAGAATCAAAAAGGTGAGCACATTCGAAAAGGAGCTCTTTGCTCACAGACTAAGATTTGAAATGCTCCCCTGTAGCCACATGAAGCTTACGATGATACTTTGTTTTAGGTGTGCTTCTACAGAGGTTATGAAAGAGGCTGCTGCAGCTTTGCATAGCTTGGATATGAGGAAACAGCCTATGGCCAAATACATGGACCCAGGAGGGGTTTAGTAGTCAAAGATATACTCCAAGGCAAAGAGCAGGGTCATTAGGATGCAGGAGCAGTGGAAGGCCAATGGCTGGAACTGGAAAGCAGCACAAAATCACAACAGGTGAGTGTACCCTTGGTGAGTGTGTATTTGTGTATACTTCTGTAAAAAAAGAATTGTGCGTTGTTGATTCTTCAATCTTATTCTGTACAAACACCACATGCATGTCTGTCCACTCTAGAAAAGGGAATTCATCTTATTAGCACCTTTTGAAATTCTTTCCTTTTTTTATGTTGTCTAAGTTATTTTTTTCTTGTGTGTGAATTTTTTTATATTCAACAAGTGGGGGATGTTTGCTGGACAGATTTCCCTTAAGGCACATTTCTTATCTATGTTGGGCAATATATCATTGAAAATTGATAGTAAGTAGTAAGCAAATTGTTGATCTGCTCTGTCTTTTGGTGGCCTGACTGTACTGAAAATGATTGTTAAACATGATCAACCAGCCAAGCAGCTCCACTGAATGCCTGAATGGACAGGTTCAATCTCAAAGGCTTAAACATGCAACAATAGTGAAAACGAGGTGAGCAGCCTCGAAGATTCTTTCTGCAACTTGATGCTGCAAAGTAACAAAATATCAGCCAGTTATTTATCATTAAATGTATTTCCAAATTACTTTCTTTCAACATTCCTTTAATTTAATGCTCTTAATGGGATGTGCATGTCTTATTTTGTCCCTTTGTTTGCTGTCTGTAAATGCAATGCAAGACTTTGTTTTAAATAAAGACTTACATTTTACATTTTGGTTCACAAAGGAGGCTCCTCTAACCACTTCATTACACATCAATCAATCCATTTTATTTGTACAGCATCAACTCATAACAAGTGTTATCTCAAGACACTTTACAAAAAGCAGGTAAAATACCTTACTCATTGTTATGTTACAAAAAGCAGGTAAAACTTATTGCTATATTACAAAGATCTGG